TAGAAAAATATGCACAAAAATTTATTAGCATTCCTCATTAAACTTATTGTATCCAACGGAAATAAATAATATTCGAATCGAAAATAAACCGAAAGCTTTTTGTGCCCAAATGTCGTGGTGTTCAAATGTCGTTGTGCTCAAATGTCGGCGTGCTCAAATGTCGAGGCTTAAATGTCGGGGTCCAAATGTTTTGTGCTCAAATGTCGGTCAATCAATAGGAACACATGGAATATTACTCTTATTAGCAATAAGTATACCTTTCAGTATTACTTTCTCTAGAATATAATGCATGAGTAATAATAATATGCCACCCCAGTTGTGAAACTAATAGATCCAAGTGCATAAAAGCTCTTTTCATGTAAAAAGTACATTTTCTGCTTGTACTTCAACCACCAGTCCACATAATTTATCGAGTGATAACATTCTAAGAGAAATGTCAATGTTATATGCCTAAATTCCCTGAACACTCTCAGGGCGTGTATACAGGCACATGCATTACAAGACAAAGATTTTTCTTACGAAAGCCGTGTATTTTCATAAACACTCCGGTACGAAAGGCCGATAAAAATCCCTTACGAACGCCCTGCTGTTGAGATATCTCGGACATTAACTATTACATTATGAACACCGGGTTACGAATGCCCTGTAAATGCGAATTTTTGTATGCGAAAGCCGCGTATTTTGGAAGAAAGTGTTACGAAAGTCTTGTCGTTTTTCTTAATTGACAGTGGGCCAAAATCTTCGTTTCTATAGAAAGGACGGGGGTCGATAAGAGACAAAATCGGCCCCTCTCAGATCAATCTCATACTCAAAGGTCTGATGTAGTTTTTTCCGTGATTAAAACTAGCACCTTAAAAAGATCATTTTCACTTTATATATCATTCGATAGAGAATTTCACGGGCAGCGAAATGATATATAAGATATTTGGAACAAATTGAGCCTGAGGGTCCTAACGCAAGACATACTAGTGGAGAGTGATGGTCGATTTAAATGGTAGTCGGTTTTATATAGAATTAGCCTATCCGTTCATGCCGAAACCATCACTCTCCACTAGTATTTCGAGCGTCAGAACCCCCAGGCTCAATTTGCTCCAAATATCTTATATATCATTTCGTTGCCCGTGAAATTCGCTATCGAATGATATATAAAGTGAAAATGATCTTTTTAAGGTGCTAGTTTTAATCACGGAAAAAACTACATCAGACCTGTGAGAATGAGATTGACCTGAGAGGGGCCGATTTTGTCTCTTATCGACCCCCGTCCTTTCTTTTTTTCTATCTTTTTCTGTATAATTTAGTATATGTTTTATTCCCAAGTAAAAGTTTTATCGAGAGAGAATCTTGGTGAAAAATTAACTGGCTTCGATGTTAATTTCAAAGACTTGAAACTTATGAATATTAGATTTTAGCTGAATAACTGTCTAATTCAGTTTTTCTTACTTTCAAAACATTAACACAAGGAATCGTTTTTGAGTTTAGAAAGTTTTATTTTTTTCATCTTTCGTATAATTTGCTTAGTTTGAAAATTTGAAGTTGAAGATTCTAGATTGAAGTTCTGAAATTAAAGTTTAGATATGATTTTCTAGAGTATTTGGCGGCGCATCTTTTAAAAAAATATTAACCTTAGGGTCTTAAAGAAGAACGAGAAAAACAGAAAATACTAAGAGGCTCATTTTTTATGGCCCTCCCGGTACTTCATAAAAGATTAAATTCATTAATTTTAATTATTTATTTACAGCCATCCTCAATAGTAGAACTATCTTGTGTATATCATACGCAATCTTATGTATGTCTGAAGGATTGCTGTAAATAAATAATTAAAATTAATGAATTTAATCTTTTATGAAGTACCGGGTGGATCATAAAAAATGAGTCTCTTAGTATTTTCTGTTTTTCTCGTTCTTCTTTAAGACCTTTGGTTAATATTTTTTAAAAGATGCGCCGCGAAATACTCTACAGAATCATATCTAAACTTTAATTTCAGAACTTCAGTTTAGAACGTTCAAATTTAAGTTTTTAGTTTTTGCTCTTTTTAACAGCAAAACCGAACGTTTTTTTAAGTTTTTGCACCTCATACGTTATTTAATATGGTGAATTCCTTTTTATGATTTATTTTTGAGAACTTTTAAGTTTTAACCCCTAAACTGTTATATTTTTTTAAAAAGTTAAATGGCAACTTCAAACAAAACTTTTAGTCATTTAAACAGTAATAGCATAGATTATTACTGTTCAAATTACTAAAAGTTTATTTGTTTGTTAAAAAACGTTCGGCTTTCCTGTTAAAAAGAGCAAAAACTAAAAAACTAAAAAAAAAAAACCACGGCGAAAATGGAAACCTTTTTCTTAAACGCATTGTGCTTAACGTTAAAAAGATTCAATATACATAGGTTTTTTGCTCTATGTATGTATGTGCGAGTATGGCTCAATAATAAGCACCGAGACTTTTGCGATGACATCCCGTGTTCAAATCACGGCAAAAGCTTCATTTCCTAAATTCTTCTTTCGTTTTCAATGCTCCTTGACGTATTTTAGATTCATCTCAATGCGTTTAAACGATTCAATGATCCATTCTGACGCGTAAAAACGAGTCAACTAAGCTTTGGATCAATACCGGCCAAATTGGACAAAATTTTTTCGGTTTTCTTAAAAAAATGTTTTCAATGATTCTAAAGCTTTTGCAAATTTCCTGCTGTGTGGCAAGTGCGGAAAAATCTGAACATATAGAGGTACAAGTGATGGTAGAAGAGAAAGATGACAGAAAAGTGATGAACAAGTTTGTTTTGGAACGATGTTAGGAGCTTTTGAATTGCTTTTAACGGCTGTGTCAGTGGCAAAGACAGTGATCATGAAACTTCTATTAGCCTTAGCTCTGATCGGTTTTAGAAGGAACAGCTTTGTTGACAAATGTTCGCTCTGCACTTTATATATCCAAGCAAAACAGCGCTGAAGACAAAATCTAGATCTGATGTTTAATCAAGCGACCAAATTCCAGCGATGCCCATCCAGATGTTCGGGCCAGACACTTGTGCGACTAATACTTGGCGGTGACTCGAAATACTCTTTTGAACACCGGTGAAATCGTCAAATCTTTCAACATAAAACTACGTTTTCACCACGAAAAGCACCATCTTTATGTCATATAAACTCGACATTCGTGATCAGCACAAAAGACTGAGTCGAACAAAGCAGTTTTTTGTTAAATCCATAAGTTTTTTTTTGGCCAAGTTTTAAGCCTTAGATGAACCAAAGACTCAAAACCGAAAGAAACATATTTTCAATGAAAATATATATGCTCAGCAGATTAAAAATTCAATCTTTTTCGTATGAAGCTGTAAGTTCTAAGAATAGAAAAATGCATGTATGCATTCAATTTTTTTCTTTCTTTCAAATAAGACGTTGTTCGGAAAGATTAGTTTGAAATTGGTGCCATAGTGGCTAAAATGCTGGAAATGTCGCTATTTAAAATTAAAAAAAAACGTGGGGCTTTCTTAATAAAAATGTGATATATCTTATTTTGTATACACCTCACGATGGAAATGATCTCAGGAAAAATATAAATTTTGCTGTAATATGCCCTATAGAAAATACTCGGGTCTGTGGCAAAAGCTCCAGAAACAATTGAAACGAAGTACTTTTCAAAATTTGCAAATAACTAACTACTTGATCACAAGGACATTCACTTTGATTACTAGGAAAAGAATATATGAATATTCAGTTTGTTGGTTGGATGATGTATCATTTGTCTTTCTTCTGAATTTAGGTTCATAAATAAATAAAGTCTCGTCTTCAAAACGGGAACTGAGAGATCTCTTGATTTTAGAGATTTTAGCGTGTAAGTGTTAAAGATGCCAGATTTTTTATTCTAAAAGCTAGAAATACATTTTTATAACTCCCGATTCTTTTTAGTATGAGAACTACTGTCGAAATAAAAAAGTAGTGTAGCAGCATCTTTAGTTGTTTTCTGGACAACTCGAGGGTGAAAAGACACTTGAGCATTTTGAAAACGCGATTTCGACGCATATTTTGGTAGAAAATGTTATCTATCGTTTCATCAGAATAATAAGTTAATTAGGATAAGAATTTTTATTTTGAAGCAGAGTTTTGAAAGAATCTTCTGAACAGCTTATTCATAGTAAACAGACTTGAAATAGAAATATGTTGGTACTTTTTCATAAGTGAGTAGCAAAACATCCTCTTCGAAATGAGAAATGAGAGTCAAGCGCGAGAGTTTCTGCTTGCTGAATTGAGATTGACTTTAGTCCAGACTTTTTGATTCCAACTCCAGACCTTTACAACTCCGATACCTTTCTTATTTTGGTTTTTTATTACATCACAATGACTTCTTGTTTACTTTCAACAAAACTACTTTGCCTGTGAATATGCATTATGTACCTTATAAGCACACGCGTTTATATACTCTAACGCTTAGATCCCTTGCAAGCAGAGAATAATTATTTTTTCATCAATTAGAGATAATCGCAGTCATTTATCGAATTCGTTACCATCATTCACTGATGACACCTGGATGGTAAAACAACATCTCGTTGTAGAGGTTCTTGAGCAGAGTATATATCCCAGTTTCCTCCAGGTAAATAATTTCCGTTGCTGCCATTACACGATAGGTGAATCGGTGCTTCTTCATAAAATGTTTGAAGTATAGCGCTTGTAAGTGGCGTCCATCTTATCGATTCATAATTTTCTTCCACTGTCTTATGCGTTGTATCAGTTAGCGCATAATCCACTCTAAAAGAGTATAGCAGTCAAATATACAATTCTTACTATACGTGAAGATCACATACTTGTGTATAGCCAAAAAGAATTCATTTAACGAAGCATCATTTACCGATGTTTTACATAGTTCTAGCTCGGCTTTCGGATAATAATGCATATAGTTGACACACATTTCATCGTGGATGGAATAGCCGCCAAATGTCATGTCATCGCGTCGGAGTGTGTTGTATATGCACGTATGAAGAATTGTGTCGTTTCGATAGATTTGAATCGGTTTCTGAAGAATGCGGATTTCTTGAAAATGAGGACTGTAGTGTCGATCAATGTTTAGTATTTCGATTTTGCCATCTGTGCGAATGATACGAGTAAACACTTGAACGCCGGTGCTATGAGTATGAAGCTGAGAGGCGAACACTGTAATACCTGTTTCGGGTAGACCCACATTTGTACACGGGCCTAAACAGTAGCCCGATAGACGAAACGCCGCAAGATGCGGTGGTATGCTGTTTTTGGAGTTATATTCGAGGCCAACTTCCATTATAGCCGCATCATATTTACGACGTTGTGGTGTGTAGTAGATGCGAATACCCGATTGATCAATGATGTTTGATTTCAAGTCAGGGTTGTTAAAATGAACTTCGAGTACAACATACCTTGATTGCGCTCTCCCGCCAATAGTCCCTCCTGCCTCTTTTGGGTAAATGAAATTGGCCGCACCAAGCGCCCAAGCACCGATGACTCGACGACATTCCGTCAGACCCATTGGCTTTTGTTCGGTTGTACATGGCCCATTGAATTTGGGCACTTCTTTCTCAGGCGGTACATTACAGTGGAATAGTTCCATGTGATGAACGACACCTTCACTCTGAGGTGAGACGATGCCATCAAATCGAATTATGTGATGAGGTTTCTTCACAATCTCAGACGGTAGCTCGAATCTCGTGCACCAATAAGTCGTTTCTACATCTGGGATTGTCACATTAAAATTACGAAAATCAACATGTGGCTCATTATTAGATATCATGGGTAAATTCACCTAGAAAGTGTTAGCTGCTGTTGATAGGCTCCTCCATTTTAAGACGAAATCACCGCTCAGGCTTCTGCTGTACTTAATTTTTTCCTTCAATAACCTCGCGGACGTTTAACAAAAACTGCCTTAAAACGCATGATATTCAAAGTACCGATCGAAGAACAATGACAAAACAGTTAATTTTTTTCATAAATTTCTGATTCTCTAATTTACACTACATGCATCGACCAAAGCGTCTCCTATTCTTTTCAAACAGACTTTAGCAATATTTTATCAACAGTCGCAAATATAAGGAGACTTTTTGAAAATTGCTCCTTGTGTGCGACATTTTCTTCGCATTGATTGTGCTATACTATGCCGACGAAAGCTTATACGGCGTATGCACACGTCTCACTCTCAAAGAGTAAGCATTTTCTTCAAGTGAATCAATAATCAAACTCCCACAGTCAATAAGGCTCCAGTAATACGAAGTTTTAGTGTATTTTATTTTTGATTAAAAGCTTGTTTTTTCATTTTAATCGAGGGGGACGTCGATGGAGTTAGCTTCATTTAATAGATGCAGCTAGATTCATTCATTAAGCTGACTGCATCGACTATTACTAGATGCACAGTTATTTATTTATTCTTTAAAAATATCCACCGTCTTTTGGTCGAAGCATCTTGCATCTAGCTAGATGCATCGAACTGCTAGCAGTTCATCGTCCACATCTAGCTGCATAGAGCGATGCTCGATTCAACTTTTGTCTTTTTGTTATGAAGCCAGCTGCATCCACTAGTGTATCTATTAAATCGAAAATTTAAAGATATGATGAGATACAGCTTCGCTAAATAAATGCAGTAGTAGATTATGGCCGTAAATTTGTTTCTTAAAGAAATAAGAAAAAGAACTCAAAAAGGATCGAGAATCCTTTTCGGTGACCGAATTACCGTAAGGTAATCGTTATCACATATGATGATAACATCATGCTTGGACTTGTGTAGAATGTGCATCCGAGAGATACTGACGCTCAAAGCATTCGGATTAATAATACGGTCGAGCCCGAATGTCATTTTAGACCTGTACTCTCTATATCTACCGTACTGACCGATCGGTCTGTTACGCCTAAGTAGCGACGCGATCGCGATCACAATAAACTCATGGCTGTCGCGTCGCGATCGCTATAAAGTCACGTTATCACGTCGTGATCTTGGTAAACTCATGTTTTTTAGAAAAAATATTTTGTAGGAGTCCAGTCGCGGTTTCATAGTCACAGCGCGATCGCTATATGCTCGTGATCTCGCGGCAGGACTCTAAATCTACATCGATTCCATTCTTATAGTTCGTATAATTCAGTATAGTTTCTCTTAGCGCAATCACTATCATATTGCTATTTCGCGACGAGACTCACATCACGGAATTTTATTGGTGGATATAGTTAGAATTCCTTTCCGTTCTTGCAATTCAAAAACTACTTTTTCTCTTATTTCAAAGTGAGAATTTAGTCTATATTTTGTATACAAATAGATAGTCCACATTCTATTTATAACATAAATAATATATATATACTATTTATGTTTTTACATAGTATATACTATGTGTCTATAGACACGTGTGTGATTGAAGATATGTATTTTTCTTATTCTTATTTTAAAGGAGATATACAAAAAAAAAGCAGTGTCCGTTATATACAAGACACTTTAGATTTTCTTAGCATAGTGTGCAGACTATATTTACGCTTGACTGTTTTGCAGTTTATATGTGCTTTTTTCACTTTTTCAAGAGGGAAGCACATGAAAAAATAAGTAATATACAAAGTAAGTACACAACAATTTTAATGAACGAAGGAGTATGAAAACATAAATCCTTTTCACGTTTGTTGTCACAAAGTTGAAGTCTTTTTGTTTAACTATTTTGGTTATCACAACGGACTTCTGCTATGTACAACTTCGCTAAATATTTTAACTTCGCAAGGTCTCAAAACAAAAGTGCACCAAAGTGAGAAATGCATCAAAGGTTGATGTCATCGCAATCGTGAGTATCCTCGGTGTAAGACCGCTTTGTCGTTCAGGATGTAGCGAGTATCATTTCGGTCCTGTTTGACGCAGAGAGGATTGAGGCTAAGCCATTCCGCCTCATTCACAGGATGCTAGATTGGCTCTAGCAACGAACTAATATTAGCGTCTAGTATTTACGAATACGCATTCTCTGAAAGTTCAAGCGTGAATGTTTTCTTCACATACGGCAAACGTTACCTCACTGGTAAGGCTCACGTTAAAATCATAAGACATCAGCCTCTTTCACCTTTATTTTGATACCAGATTTTGAATCATAGGGGACAGAAAACTTCATTCGAAATGAAAATTTCTTTCACTAAAGTTATCACAGCTCATGATTAAGTTTCCAGAAATAGAGTAAAGAAGATAGTTCGACATCGCGACAGAAATATGCCGGAAGGATTTAAAGGAGGAATTTGACCTTCAAAATTTTTGCCGTGTACTCACTTTGATTTCGTATTAGTTCTTTAGTGAAAATGTCTTTTAGATACAAATTGTGGAGTACTGAACGCATTGTAGGATCGATGTAAACTTCAAAAAGTCGCATCGTGTTCTTGAAGAAAAGTCCGAATAAAACATGGTGCTATCAAGAACTACAGCCATGTACAACGGTGCTGTCAGACTTCCAGTAAAACTAGCACCAGAATTACGCCATCGTTTTGATCTTAAATTCTCGCGAATGTTTCTAAGTGGAATAATCATAAAGGATCATTTTTAATCTTTTGTTTTGAAAAATTTAGGTATTGTGCTCTCTATAGAAAATCCCATTCTCTTTTGACTAGTGAGTACAAAAGAATGTGGGACCACCTTGATGGGGCATGAAAAAGCTCACCTAACTGCATAGAGTATCCTACAGGATAACGAGTAGGGCTTAGCGTCAGCTTCCTTGGGATTCCAGATGAAACTCCTAGCGTGAATGTGTTCTTCACGTAGGCGTTGCCTTATGGAAATTAAACTCACACCGAAAGGACGGAAGCAGGTCAATTAACTTTGCAGCTGACCAACCGAGTACCTTTTGTGTCGAACCGGAGTTGAGCAACTAAATTATGCGTTTGAGAAAAGAGAAACTTCTAAAAACAACTCTTAAAAAAATTCTTTTCATTCAAAAAACCTGAAAAATAACTAAAAACCCTATATACAAGCCCTGTTCAGACAGGAAAACTCCAAATCGAATAAGCACTTCAAGGAGCAGGAGAAAAAAACCAGCGCGAGTAAGTAAAAGGCGCGATAGGAGTCTCGCTGAAGAAAAATCGTGAGTCCCTGCTTAGTCACGTCGCTATAGCGGGAGCCATATCGCGACAACAGCTAGTCGCGCTGAATTTTTGATAAAAAACGGGATTCACGACGCGACTCCGTGAGTCATATCGCGAGTATAAGGACCCACGTCCAAACATTGGGAAAAACATAGGACTCACACAGCGACAGCGGGAGTTACACCGTGAGTTTTACGAGTGGATTGGAAAAATCCCGTTCCATCGTGAGTTTATAGTGATCGCGAAAATCGTGACATTTTTCGTGAGTCCAATAGTGACCACGTTACGCGGTCACGCCCTGACTTTTTTCCGTGACTCACGTCGCGACTTTGCCGTGAGAGTCGACCTGGGGAGTATGGCTGTATTGCTACATCCACAAGCCGCCAGAGAATAACGAAATTATTACACCGAGGCCGTCACTTATCTCTATTTTCTTGCAAACTTTTATATATTCTGATATTCGTTTGAGATTGTGCAATAATCCATAGTGATAAAACATGGATTATACTGTCATTGGTAGCGGGGGTTAATAAGTGCTCTCACAATCTTTTTCTACTCCGCACAGAACAGTTTTGTCTTCTATTCTGTTTCGTTTTTCCCAAAGCAGCACTCCAATTTTTTCATTGTTTGAACTTTATTTCCTTTATATCTGCATCATGATATGACAGATATCGATTAAGTAGATCAATGTGCCTAAATAGGCGCCTCCTGCATCTAGTGCATCGCTTTTACTCGATGCATCTAGATAACTAGATCTTTTTTACTCATTTATCTAGATGCTTCTGCTGGAGCGAATGCATCTGCATATTTTTGCTGGGCAGGTTTTGCTTGGGATTTTCCGATCTCACTAATGTGATTTTCGGATTCCAATTGAGCCTAGATATGTGGTCTAGAACTTGATCGCGCATATCGTATAGGTTGTGAAAATTTCGAAATCGGTGTTCCTCCGTTGGTGCGACCTAATTTAGGGTTGCAAGAAGCTAAATTCTCTCAAGAAGTTCTCTCAACGTGAAGTTGTCTCGTGAGAGAAGCATCTTCTAAAGTAGGTTTTCTAAAAAGTCTTTAGAAAACACGGCAGTGTCTTAGAAATATCCACTACGATTATACTGATTTTTTTCCATGAGCTAATAGTCCAGCACGTCTTCTTCAAAATGAGAGCCAAGTGAGACATCGATTTTCAGTGGCTCGGGTATACTATTGAATTCCATCATTCTCTCATGACTGATACACTGTAAAAAATAAAGTGTGTTACTAGGTCGTTAATCTTCTAAACGTTCACTCGACATCGAAAAGTGTGTAAAGAGCTAGGTGTGTTAAAAAGATTTCTTATTTTCCATTTTTCTCCCGAATTACTGCAACAATTGAAAAAATAACTTCAGAACTATGATCACCATCTTTGAAAGTATACATGCTGTCATTTCCAGCAAAAACAGATAAGAACAACAAGTGGAAAAAACAGCATCATATGGTAGATTTGAACAACAGCCGATTAATGAATCTGAGTCATTTCTAGTACAGACAGTTTAGACGAGTAAACTATATCGTTGGTCTCAGTGAGGAGAGCCAGACAGGCACTTCTCAACGTGTACTTCACACACCTACACCGTCATTTTAGACGGTTACTTGAAATCGACTTGGCGTTCACTTTATGTGTGTCATTTACACATTTTATTTTTTACAGTGTACTCTGTGACTATTAGTAATCCCGGAGACGGGTGAATTATAGATAATCAGTCTTCCTGAGCGTGTTGCTAATTTTTTTTAGAAAATACTTAAAAGCCAAGAGAAAAGTAAAACCAAGTTTTCTGCAAATTATTCGGGCTTAATATAATATTTCAATTTACTATTCACTCAAATAGAACGAGTTCAACAGATCTAGATATGGCTCATTTTGTCCATCAGGTGGCCTAATTTGCGGAAAACTTGGTATTACTTTTCGCTAGGAATTCAATATTTTTTTAAAAAGAAATATTAGCACAAGGTTCAACAGGATTGACTACCAATAATCCATCCGTCTTCGAAATTACTAATAGTCATAGAATAGTAATCGTGGGAAGCGGGAGGATGATGGAACTCAATATTATACCCGATCCACTGAACCTTAATGCGCACCAATTTAATATGAGCCTTTTTTTAAAATAGTTCGCATTAATTTCTAATTATTTTCAAAAGTTTCAATGGGGAGCCACCGAAAATCTATGTTTCGCTTGACTCTCATTTTAAAGAGGACGCGCTGGACTATTAGCCCATGGAAAAAGATTGCTTATGGTAACATGTTCTACCTCTTTCGAATAGTGAAACAGCAACTCTCTATCACGCTGCGTTCGCGAGTTATTTAAAAAATGGCAAACTGCACTATTTGTTTTACGCACAAGTAGTCCTTCTCGGCTTAAGAATAAATAATCGTAGTTTGGAGACATATGTCAATGAACTTACTAAGGCACACCGGATACTTACAGGTAATAGGTACAGGTGGATACTCTAAAGAGATCTCGGCTTTATCATGATTACAGAATTTGATCCGTCTAACTAACTTTTGCTCTACCTCTCTTAAATATATAAGATTCTGTATTCGATGCACAAATTGGAAATAAATTACCTGACTTTTCAATAATTGTACTCGTTGTAAATGTAATTTAATATTTTTAGGATCGAGCTGAAGGGATGATCGATTTTTCTTTATTTCATATAATTGTGTTCGATTCAATTTTCCTGACCTAATATTCACTGTACCACTGTCTATAACATAATCATGTTTGTCACATGTCTCTAACGGTCGTTTGAAACTCACTATACTTTGTATCGTTTTTTGTTTGGTTTCACCACTAATAACCTCAGCATCTATTTTTTTATCATTATCAAGTATGATCATGCTGTCATCATTTGTATATGCATTGTGGAGTTGATCGCTTTCATCGAGCACAAGTAAATCGGCATTATTCGTGTATTCATAATTTGTAAATGCTAATAAAGCACCACTGTCATATTCTCTCGTTATATTCCATTCGAATAGTAATACTTCCGAATTATATTGATCATAATCCCATTTCAAACTGCTATTCGTTGTCTCATCTAATGGGACATTATAACGTAATTCACCAAGTACAATAGGCTCTAGTAGGCAAATAAACAGTACAATTCGTCGAAACACCATTTATAATTTTTTATGGTTTATGAGACTACAAAATGCAACTATATTTATATAAAATAAGAAAAAATAGTTTTTTCAATCTCGTCCAAACAAATGAATTGATTGCATGCTACCATTCATTTTGAGATGAATGTGAATGGTAAGTATTGATATTGTAACAGGCCTACTTTTTACTTCTGACTGATACAAACAAGTCATCCATCTCACAACAATTTTGGATAACAACATTGAGAAATCGAACCAAAGTAACATTAATCACCATCGAAGAATTCGTTATTATACCTCATAAAGCATTGGTTATAGAAAGCTATTGGAGCGGCAGAACAATCATGATTGTACTGCAGTTAAAACTTCGAAATGGTCGCCTGATTTCTAGCTGACAATTTGAAAAGAAAATCTATCTTCTTTTCTTGTAGTTTTTGTAGAACGACTATTGTTTGAAAACTTTATGGGAGGCTCAGCCGAAATCTGCGAACACGGATTGAGAAAAAAAGTGATTTTTATCGGACATCATTTGTACCTGACGTTTTATCGCCCAACATATGATACGGTAAATAACGTCGATGTTTCGATGAATAACGTGTACAATATTGTCGATCATTCGATGGTTGATAATGTCACCAGACGCGATAATGATAAATATCTATAGCCAGCGAATAGAATAAAAACGCAAGTGATACGGCACACAGAACAGCCAATATTTGAACATTTGTCTTGGAGTATAAAATTGTTGCTACAACTCGAAATATTATACAGACGGTCAGAAATACCAGTCTGACAATATATCTCAGTTTCGGACGAGTACGATAACACGGGCAATTACAGGCGTGTTCCCCAATGACGTCCTGGTTATCATAATTTCATTGAAAGTGCGCTGCCTGTCACAAAGGCCGAAATCCATCCCATTTAAAGACACCAGAGATCGAATTGGATCAAATGGACGTGGGCCGAACAGATCCGGACACCATTGACCCGAACCAGGTCCGCCCCCAACTGTGAATGTTTTTCGAACGCTAGCCCGATCGGGCCCCAATTAGACCCGAAATTAGAAATCTTGTTTTTTGCATAGTACTTCATTCACTGTGTCGCGCGATAAAGCATCGCTACTTTCCGCCCACTTCTTTGATATATTCAGCAACAATCCAAAGTTTTGCAAAAAAAAGCGTCAGAAGCACCCATTACCTTCAGCTATGACTTGACTTCGGGCATCTTCAGTTAGAAAACGCCATTTCAAATATGGAACAATAGAAATGCATTGGGGTTCGTCTTGTAAACTTTGTAGCTTAGAAAGCCGGAAAAGGGCCACGTCAGCGGCATCTCATTTTGTAGAGAACTGAACCGATGATCCTCTGCGTGTTTGCAAAATTTTCCGATGTGTTTTGGATCGAAAAGGAAAACCCGGTCTTCAGAGACCTTCTTTTCAAAAACATCGACAGAAGTATTGAGATAAGAGCTGATTCTGGTAGTGGCAGAAGACAAGATATTTAGGATCTCTGACAATTAAGCTGCTCAATAAAAAACGAACTGGAAGTTGACAGAAAAACCGAAAAAACGGGTATGTCATTCTTAAAGACGGCTTTCAGTCGGGCCGAACTGATCATACATTAATCTGAACGTTTGATTTCGATATCATAGTGTTTTAACTTGGTCGAGTTCCAGTTTCTTCATCCACTTGGAACTAGCCGTCCGCCCTGCCCATAAAATTTCGAAGGAGTTTTGAGTCCTGAAAATGTTTCATTCTCATGAAAAACGTACTGTGACGGCATCCCGGAGCCGGAAAACGGACAATATCGGCTATTTCCCTAGCCCGTTCCAAAAAGCTTTTGAGACTTTTAAATGTGATATTCTTACTCAGAATTGTATGCTCCTTGAGATGAGGTGGATCTCGATATTTGCGACAGACATCGATACAAACGTAGTAACCTTTTCAAAGAATCGAAAAGAATCATTTTTTCATCGTCTTTACCCAGGCTTGTTCGTTTTTTCTTCTCGTTCTGTCCGCCATTTACACGGACGTCTTGTAAGAATGACTCGGCAACGCATAGTCAAAAAACGTCTGAGAGCATTAGGATACCCGCAAATACGAATATATAATTCCCCACTTTCCAGTGCGGGTGTATTACCATAGTTTTTACAAATATTTAATACCATCAATAATTCTATCGTGAAATATGCTAAAGCTGGTATGACACATCCGATACAATCAAGAATAAACGCATTTAGCATGAAATGGTTTTCAATTGGTGTTGCCTGAGTTGTTGTATATGGATAGGTGGTAGGAGTATTAAGTATTAAGTAGTATGAAAATACCGGAGGCCAAGCACGTTTTGGTGGCGCTATGATTTGTGCTGAAATTCGAATGGGTGAAGTGTTAGAATTGAAGTTAGATGAATTACATCAGGTACGAGATTCAGATGCTTCGCATGCGAATTACGACACAGTTTATTATAGACACTTGAACGAGGAACGAGATGAATTCTGCATAAAAAGTTCTTCGCAAATATTAAAATGGGTGATGGTGGTTGCCGAACAGTTTGACACTAAAGTCAAAAGATACGGACTAGACACAGAGTTTGATCATACGCGGTGCGGATGCATATAGAAAGAAAAAAACTTTTCCATTTAGCTAGTAGTTGCACAATATGATCATATTACCACGATCCTTTTATTTCGATCACATTGGTTTTACTTTCGCTAAAATTGTTTGTTGAGAAAAGGGTGATAAACCGGAATAATATGTGTACGAAGAACTCAATTAAAGGCATTATTTTATTTAATAATATAGAAGCTTTCAACTCAGACTGGATAACATCAACATCCGCCACATAACGACGTATATGTATATATATCGAACAGAAAATAAGATGATCATCGCCATCAATCACTGTGGACCATGTGGACATATCACTGAACGAACTTTTCTGCAAGAGGAAGAATAACAATAGATACCTGTTCTAGAGCCAATGTCGTGCCCCACTTCTTTCCGAAATAACTGAACATTTCTATTTCTCCATTCGTTAAGAAATTCAGATCCCAACCTTCCTTTAGCAAATGATGATCTGGCGGGCTTTTCTAGAAACCAAAATCGCTCTTCTTTGAAATACAAAGTGTTACTATCGACTTCAGCTCTCTTAACAGGTCTATGTTTCTGTTTATCGTTTTTGTTTGTTTGAAATTGATAAAATGTTTATCGAGTTCAACTTACCATTCCTTCTTTTGATATGCTCGTTCAATGAGTTTATTCTCAGTATCAAAATACCGTCTCCATTTCGATTTCTTCGATTTTTACTACACCGGTAGTCATTTAGTTTCCGAAAACATCGACATCCAGTTATTCACAAAAACTTTTAGTCCTTGTTCCTCAATCCAACTTGTGGAAAAATGTTTTATCTCTTTTATTTTAGACAAAACTTTATTTATCTTAAGGATGTCAATTTTTTAATATGTATTTTAGATTACTGGTAAGTACACAAAAACGTATAAGAAAAACAACGTCTAATGAAGGAAAAATTCTCTGCATTGTGCGTTACTATTGATCTTCTTCTTTAAGGGCTCCCCTTCAGAAAAAGTTTTTTGTCTTACATCCGATTTTGATGACGCTTTCAGTAAATGTTTGCCATATCAAAGTGTGGTTATGAGATTTTTTTTATCGCTGTCTCTTACCGTTCCGGAGTTTTCCAGAGTCCAAGGTCAAAAACCACCCTCCACTGTGGGACACATCTTTTAACATACTTCAACCTAGAGACATCGGGTTGGTTTTATTTTAAACTAGACATCTAACTGCGTAACTCGCCCGTCTCTGACACAAGCTATCGAATGCGCTGATTATCGTGGCAATGTTTATCTTCTTTTCCGAACTAAAATGTCTTTGAATGATAGAATTTTAAGATAAATGCATTTTTTTCCCTTTAGTTGCCTGGTTGCAGCGAAAAAATCCAATGTCTGTGTAATATTTTGAAGGCCAACGTACAGAAAGGGGACAACGAGTGAAACAAATAATAATCGAAGAAAAGCACGTGTAGATATACGCTGACGTAAATCACTTTCAGATCGTCAAATAAATTTAATTTTTGTATGGATTTTTTTCCAAAATTCAATTCTGAACAACTTTTGCACTCAGAGTTTTGCTCTAAAATGCTTGGTTCGGGCGAAACTAGCCGTAAGGTTAGGTAAAAAAATCTTCGGTGAGCCAAAAACCAGCGATATTTTCAAGTTTTGAATTTTTTCTTCAAGCCTTCCCGCTTTGTAGAGGACACTTCGAAGTGTATATTCGGAAGTTTTTCGGCTTAATGAAATTATTTGGCTGAGAAAAAAATTAATTACTTAAACAATATTGTTAAATTTTCGACTTACCAAACTTATCGAGCGACTAAAAACGAATTCTTCAATGTTTAAGGTAGTCCATATTGTAGCCCGTGAAATTCTCTGTCAGATAAGGTATTGCTTGAATCTTTTCGTTGCTTTGCTATTTTACAAATAAGACTTTATCCTAGTAGAGTAGGCTAAATTAACGTTAATTAGTACTAATTAGTCAATAACAGGAAGGAAAGAACAAAAATTCTTGCATATTTTCTCGTAATAAATATTTTCCACACATTTATCTATCGATCTAGGCAAGAACCAAGCTTTATGATGAATGGAGGATGGACAGGAATTTTTTTAATAATAATCCCTTGTTCAAAAATTTAACAATATTTTTTTAAGTAATTAATTTTTTTCTCAGCCAAATAACGTCAGTAAGGCGAAAAAACTTCAGGACATATACTTCGAAGTGTCCTCTACAAACTGGGAACGTTAGAGAAAAATCTAAATGAGGCACCCCTCCCCTTAAAAAGCTTTATTGAAACGATGCAAATGTTCCATTCTGCCGAAAAATAAAGATGATATCAATATATATATACAGGATATTTAACACACATACGCATCTTTCATTGCTCGCATTTTCTTTACAAAAAAGTTTATATTTCGTAAAGAATATGCGTGCAGTGACTTATACGTTAGAGTATCAGTTCTTATTTTCTTCTTACAGCAATAAAACACAAAAACGATCTATTCTATGCATCATTGTATGACGTTGCTTTGACGTGTAATGAATTGAATCAAAAGGTTCGTTGTAATATATCATTAATATCAATAATTTGGGCAAATTAATACTTGATGGGGACATTTTTAAGTACAAAAGGCTAAGAATAGGTGAGTAGTACTATTTAGTGAAAAAAAATGTTGAATAAAAGAATAACATTGTATATAATTATGTTCATTCGTGTTTAAACTGTGCGTCGCAATTTCTTAGCTGCTGCCAACTGCCGCTCTTCCGAATAACGAAAAACGAAGTAACTTAGGGCATGTGTCGATATTAGAGGTATGACAGTGATGTAGTAGAATGTGTACCAATCAAATCTACCCGAATAACTGATATGGGGCATTGCTGCATAAGCAATAAAATTCGGTACTGAGACAAACGCAAAAAAAGTCGAAATTATCCAGACACCATTGGTTACCACCTGTTCACTGGAACGTTGATCGGACTCGTCTGAGGCAACAAATAAATCTATGTGCGATTGACTGTAATTATCTGAAATAAATAATCAGAATTTGTCAGTATCACTGGTTAGACTATATTTTTACCGTCATTGTCAATTAACTGAACAGTATCATTTGAGCGATTAGTGGTCATTTCATGGGATGCATTACCATTTCGTTGCCGTTGCTTTAGTTTGTTGATACAGAAAGTTAGGGACATATCGATGATACAAAATAAGATTAAAGCCCATGTAATAATGGTGTAGGCATACGACAATAATAATTCAAACTGATAACCGAGTATTTCCATTTCAATTTTATGACAAATGTCTCTCGATTTGAGGTGTTGCAGACGAATCATGTGATGAATATCGACGAATGAGAAAATACTCATAATCAATAGCGAAATAATGAAGGACGTTCGAGGTGTGCTCGTATAGCGAAATGTGAAATATAACATTCGATCAATACACAGAACAACTAACAGCAAGATGGTAATGTCGTCAGATACGGAATGTAAATATCCAATCAATTTACACAATAACACATGTTTACCCAAAATTCGAATGTTGAATGTAAAGAAAAATTCATGTGTAACGACAATAGAGACGAACAGAATATCGTATACACCTTTGAACAGAATGTACCATTTAGCTGAACAATGTTGGTATCGTTCAGATTTGAACATTCGGATGAGCAAAACATTGACAATGACGGATAAAATAAGAAATGGTGGAAGACAAATACGTAGTATCCAATTGATTATCGTATGCGCACGAGATGATAAATGAGAACTCGATACAACATCATCATAAAATGATATATTATTAAGTATATATATTGTCGTTTCGTTCATGAATAGAGTCAAGATAGTTCTAGTTGCTTCGCAAAATAAAACAAAATGTGAGAAAATGAATTCAATTTATCTCATATCTTTAAGTGATTAAGATGAATACGTTTTTTTTTACTTTTCATCAACGAAACACAGATCAGTTTTCATTTCTTATGTATCGAATGCAAATGAAGAATGAATGGTGAGAAAACATCGTTTCTTTGTATGATTCTGTATGATATATATGTCTGAGTTAAAATAATGAGATTAGGTACAAAAGGCATAGATTCCATGAAGGAACACTGGCAAAAAGAAATTCACGATTACATGGAAATTATAAGAATTCATGTAGCCGTCTCTCACTTTCTAGCGCTCCACATACATTTGAATCTACCAATTCGTAAGCAGAAAGTGAGTATGCATACATGAACGTTGGTCAGTTTACAACGTCCTGCATACGAACTGAGAGATTCCGTTCCATTCTGCTGTGATTTTGCCACATTCTGATGAAATTAAGTAAATGTGATGTATCGATTCTACTAAAATCAAAATCAAAGCATGTTTTAAATTTGTCGAGTTCGGCGAATTTTAAGAAGTTGCATATAATTCTGGCAATTATTACTAATGCCATAAAGCCGTGTAATTAACATGATATTTGACAGCCAGGAACAGAGTATGCCCATCTAAAACATGCTATAACATACAAAAGTGTGGAGAGGTAACATCATGAAGTCTTCAAATTTTTACGACTGATAAACAAACGAGAAAGAAAATCAGTACATCTTTGTTCATGTTCCTTTTTATATGGATTTTCTTAATGACGACCTGATATGAATCGCTATACTGCATGATTCTCGCTTCACTACTCCATCCAATCGTGATGAACATTATGCCGTAACGACATTGTAATTCAACGAACGTAGGTCTTTTTGACATATTATTTTCCTTCCTAAACGAGCGCTCCGAAAAGATGTGCTAAGTATTAGATCTAACCATATTTTTAATGGTCGAAGTTGAGTTTTATCATTTAGAAAAAACTAAAAATTACATCACATTGACATGACCTGCGAATTCCGGTTTCTGCAATAGCCTGATCCAACTTCTTACAGACCTTCGAACTATTTCACTTCGTAAGACTACGTTCTATGAATGAAATTCCGCCAGCAGTTTTTCTTTTCTTAGTTAACAGTATTTGAAAAAAATTGATTAGCTTTATGGTATGGAACAACCATGGCTAAAGAAATCCACACTATCCAGCCATTTTTTAATAAAAGAAAATAATTGTTTTGTTACTTGAACGACAGTTCGGTTTGACGTCTTATGCCCTGAACAGGATAATGTTTCTGATCGGCTTATAGAGTATATCCTGAACGAGATCCATATGTCAATCGAGATAAAGTCAGCACTTCAATCAGGATATATATCCCATTCGAGCTATGTTACTCAACATGTTAAAAAGCATACTTAACCCATTGCCCGCTGACGACATCATTGAATAGAACAAATTGGGCTACTGATATATCAGTGGACAGCGTGCAATGTGTTAAAATATATGTGATCAGCCATTGATGACGACCATATTTCAATTTATACATCAATTGACTTATATTTAGCAAGTTTTACTCTACAGTAGAGAGCGACAAAAGGTTTGATGTAGCATATATCAGTACATTGATAAAACCTTTCTGTTCCAGGTTGTCATCATCCGATACTTGGAGATTTGCAATACTTTATAAACAGCTTAAAGTGCTCTATCTGGTGTTGCTATTAGATCTCAGTTATCAGCTTTCATTTTTTCCCAAAACGAAAGTTTTTTGAAAAAGTCATCAGGATATAATTTATATCGCGATCATGATCTGCGAGTTTTCATCGAACTTTTGATAATACCCTGAACAATGCATTGGACGGACAATGTCCTCTCCAAAATGGCATTGTCCGTTTTTGTTAAAATATAAAACAGGTCCCCGAACAACTATTCATTGTTATTATAGATCGATCTGGCTATGCAGAATATCCCGACCAGGCTTTGTAACCCAATCGAGGTATATCGTATAGGCCGATCGGGGTTTTATTCCGACCAGGATATAAGTCCACCGGACTGAAAAGGGAAATCATCTACTTTACTTTAATATTAAAAATTATTTATGTTTTATTCAAAAAGTTTTTGCAGGACATAGTTTAATAAGAAAAGTTCCAAAAAATCTGAACTTTGCCATGATAAACTCACACATTTTTTCAAGTATTAAGAAAAATTTCCAAAGATATCGAATAGAACTTGGAAAGTTCCTCTATCCAACAAAAAAACATTCTTGTAGTTCAGTTAAGAAATGACGAAGGTATTCGAGATTTTTTTGGGTGCGAGCTTTTGGAACACACTGTACTTTTCTATAAACAGTTGTAGTTACAGGAATCCATCACCACAGATTAGGCATTTTTCTGCTGTAACAAAAAATTATAGATTTTTCAAAAACAGGATAGTCCTCTAAATTCTTTACAAAGTGAGCTGGTCAGAATATCCAGACAGATTGGGTTAGTCTTTAACGCTATCGAAGAGAAGCGTTTGGGTGTTATCTATGTAGTACAGTGTGTCATAATCCCAAGAACTCCTTTGTTTTTTATTTTTCGGTAAAAGCTGGGACCAATCTGAATACTGTTTTGGATAGCCCGAAGATTTTTCTAACAGATGAGGTGCATATCGTCGTTTCATGAGAAAAGTTGATAATAGGGTTTCTGGAAAACCTGACTGCTAGAAAACCGAGTCCTTGGTTTTTGGTCAGAAGATTTTGCAAACCATATAGCCTAATAGAGCAAAGAATTCTGAGGAAAATAAGACATCTTCAAGCTGTCTATAAGGCTTTGTCACAGGAATGTTTAGGTAATTTTCACGCTCTTTGTAGCCATTCGTAGATCGACTTCAGTTGTTGGGAAGTGAAAAGAGAAGCATTTCCGATCATTTTCACTCAAAATCATATCGGGCCATTTTTCTAGCAGAAACTGTTCCCCGTCCTTTCAACTCGAAGTTTAAATTTTGGGCATCTTACTTTAACATACATCACTCGTCTTTCCAATGTGGAACAATACGATATTTTTACGCCAGAACGGCCTAATTTCAGGCTCAAATTCATTCTGCAGTTCGTCCCAGGATGTTGATATGGCCCATTGTCTGAGTCATTCTTACTTCTACTCTACGATCAGAAAAAATAACAGGATATAAATCCGCATTCCTAATTGACCAATTCAACGCTAACTCGAGCATGTAAACACCAAAGCAACTTTACCTGAAAATTACTTGTGATAATCGAAACCTGATCCGTTATTGCTAAATTATTAATTATAGGCACAACGCCGTTCATTCACCTATTCTAGGAAATTTGGAACATAAAAGATTATAATATCGAGTGAAACCTACAATAAACTGCAATAACCACAGTGTTTTACTTGAATATGGATGGGTCGTTTTCATAACTGCACTTGTGTCTTTCACATGGTACTGGCAGTGAATGGCTTATCTTCCGGGCTGATCCAGAATATATGTTTTAATCTTTCAAAGAATTTTTGAGAGAGAAAATTTGAAACTTTTAAACTCAACCGATTTTTAAAAAAAACGTCATTTTTCAAAAACAGCAAAAATTTCGCAACTACTAAAGTACTTGAGATTTACTATTACAAAATCCCGATAAAATATAAATCTTGATTGATCGACATCCTTCGCCATGTCAGAACAATTACAATATCCTTCTATTCCTTGGATTTATATACGCGTACAGAAGAAAAAAAGATCAAAAAGACAGAAAAATGATATATTAAGCAAGAAAGTGAGAAAAGAAGAAATTTTATATTTTCCAGCACTTACAATGCAATCACTTTAGGTTCTGTCAACTTTACAGGCTAAAATAAAATTCACGAGGATGTAATCCTCTCTGATTTTTATGCCAGCATGAAGTGCCCAAGTTGTACTCCGTGCTCATCTGTATTTTAGAATAAGATACATTGTAGTTTCTGAGATAACGGGCTGTCAATATCACAGTTAATCATAAGAAAATATGCAATTTCCATTGCTATTGTATAACTAGATGTATGAGGGTTTATATGTGTAAGATTATTCGAATATAAATCGTGTACAAATTTTATACCAGTAGAGTACAAGTATACAAGATTTTTGATAAGCTCTTAAGCATATCTTTCAGTGCATAAGCTAATTATTTACTGTTTTTTCCAACATGTGCATCTGTAAGAGTGAACTGTTTTCTCTCTGGTTGAAAAACAGCTTTCTCTTATAGATGCACATAAAAATCTTCCTTTAAAAGTAGATATCGAAACCTTTTTGATTTTTTTGAAAGTAACTGGCCAGTAATTTTCCACGATATATTTCCATTTTCGCTATTTCAAGATTCATTTGGTATTCCATATCCGGACGAGCTTGAATTTCTTTACGTGTTTAACCGAGATTTTTCATGTAGATGATTATATTAATGATATTTTACTGGGTAGCTTTGATCCCAGTCCTAACTCAGTTCTAATAAATAATAATAATAATGTTTAACATAGTAACTTTTCTTCTTCCTATTCTACCGACGTCATATATCTTGGTCAATACTATATTCATGTTACGTTTCCTTCTCTAGGAGTCAACAAGCAACAGCATAATAATGAAAATGGGAGCAGTCGAAAGAATTACTCAGCATTTGCCGCAAATAATGGAGAAACAATTTCGTCAGCTAACAAAACAAGTAAAAAAAGAAATGGAACAAGCAAAACAAAAAAACGAACATCGGCAACTAACCGTGGATGATCATAGCTCACAATCAGACGAGTACGAACTCGATGAATCTTCTAAAACGCAATTACAGGTAAATGATATTACTCTTGGTGCTGCTGATACTCAGGCTTCAAGACAAAGTAACAGCACATCAAATGCACCAACACATAGTGAAGATGTTTTCACAAATATGCAAACAGTCTTAGCACAAAAGACCGCAATAATAAAAACGATAAAGCGAAATCAAACTGGACAATGAGAACGAAAGCTATTCAGAAATGATCCTCTAGCGCATAGTAATCGATCAGCTACTTTTAAAAAATGAAATTTTGCCATATTAATATGTCTTCAGCAAAAAAGCACAAAGAAGAGCTATATGCTATATGCTCGTTTTCATGACTATGATATTATTATATCTATGAACGAAACGAGCCCTAAAAGAGATGGGATTGAGGAAAACGAACTCAAAAGGTAAGCGACTTCAATTATTGTTAGAAAAAAAAATCTGCAAGAAGCCGCCAATGCTTTTCAACAGTGGTGTAAGTAGTGGAAGCTGGAGATTCAACCAACAAAAACAGAAATGCTACACTTCGCACCTCATCCAAAGAAAAAGTATAAAAACGAAGTTAATGTGAACGTAGAAAATGCAGTAGTTCGACCTCAAACATCAGCTAGATACCTCGGTGTGATCTTTGACCGAAAACTGCAATGGTGAGCTCATATTCAACATATAGAAACGAAAATTCAGTCAAAGAATAACAGTGTTACGTTTCTTGGCAAGATCACCTGGAGAAGAAAATAATACTAAATCATGATCAATCTATATATGTCACTAATCAGAACAGTTATAACACACGCGTCAGCTGTTCTATTAACAGGAGAAGAAAAAATATGGGAAAGACTACAGGTTGTTCAGAACAAGGCAATTAGGGTAGCATTAGCTGTTCCAATGTACACATCCGTGGACTATATACATCGGATCAGCAAACTTCAAAAGATAAAATCATACTTATTCAAACTAACTCAACAAGCGTTGATTAGAGCGTAATATTACGAAGGCAGGACTATAGAAGAAAATATTAATGATATCTTGATAACTTTGTAGGTTTCAAATCGTAGTTTTGTGCATCGTTACTTTGATTTTTGGGCAAAAAACTTATGTCATCAGCCTCCGTGTAAATAGCTTTTCAGGCTACTTTTAATAACAGCCTCTGGTACCTTATTATTCTTCTTTTCTATGTGTTTCTCAAGTGTTGTGTAAATTTATATGTAAATTTATGTATAAATAGCTGTGTTTTTGAAAGTGTTTTCATGTGATTATTTCGGATTATTAATTCTCTGGTAAATGAAACAAAGAAGATAGAATATTATTCAAGTTTACGTTTAGAAAATAGCATTTGTGGTAATCTCATTCGTACAATTACCAATAACTGGTTTTGCTTTTTGGTTTTGAATTTTGAAGGGGTCGACATTAGTGAGTTCTTTTTTGCTAGATGCGTCTAGTGTAGTGGCAAAGGAGTACCGCTTGACTTGATGTGTAAAATATGCTAGAATACTGCTATATTTAGGTCACATATGTCCGTGTGTGCACCGTTAGACATGCCTTGCTAAAAGTATACGTCTGTATATGATAATACTAGATTAAGTATATTTCTGGATTTCAATTTATATGTGCTCTAAAATTCAATTACGTGAAGTTAAATTTAAAGATAAATAAAGTTGGATGGGAGTTACATTTTATTAAATTTATCTTAAACTGACAACTTGTTTTTTTAACTCTGTCCCGCAGAAGAGGAGTAAGTTACTATTCATACGATTTGTTACTATTAAATGTGAAAGATACTCCATTCTAATATAACCGGCATATTCTGATCAGTTTAATTCCTAAAACAAGCTTTTTGAAAGTTTGTTCATTTTCGCCTTAAGCAATGACTGAGTCACTTTCAAAGCAAAAATCAGGCAAAATCTATTTATGACTTTTGAAGGTTTCACACTAGCCTGTGTCACGATTTTCGTTTACCTTCTTCACAACAGAACGCGTTATTCTCTAAAAATTTTAATAAGATATGCTTTTTTTCGACACATTGAAACCAACGTCAAAACAGAAGGGAGAAACAGAAAAGAACGGTATTGTTGTTATATTTGTCTGTGTCAGCATTTGCTATTTTATACATGTTTTCAAGGTCTTTCAGAACGAAAACGAAATAACAATAACACTCCCTTCTTTCTTTTTATATGTGACATAAAAAGGCTCATCATTATGAAATTTTTACTACATAGAAGGTGAATAGTTTGTAACAGAATAGCGTAAGTGAGCTAAGAACTTTTAAACAACAGTAACTGTTAGTAAAATCGATTATGCTTGATCGTTTCAACTAAGATTATATAAATCTGTATCTTTTGCCGCTTGCCGTTTTACTTTAAGAACATCAAATCAACATGCACTTCGCTCATGTGCATCGATGACATTTTGTCTGATGCTAACATAATAAAGTTTCACAAGGAAGAGAAATTATTTATACAATTTTAGTTCATAACTCAAGTGCATTGTAAGCGGACATGCAAATTTGTTGAATATGCAACACCGCTGATTGTAATTCTTGGCAATGATGTGAGAGAGTGTATCGAAAGGTCAAAAATAAATGTTAAGCCATTACTCTCTGGTGCTAATCCAGCAGATCTGGTGTTAATTTGGCTACAGGGAGAGCTTGTGTGCGTGCTCAAATGACGATGGTATAGTTAAATTTGACCGAAGTCCTTTCACTGCGGAGGAGCAGAATGAGTCATTTACGACCCATTCGGATTGAGTGACATGAAAATTTAATGTTTTTCTTATATGGTTTTTGTTGCGGTTTTTTGCCCTTGTGTATTTACTTGGTTTGAATAAAGCTGGAAAGTTCTTCCTATCATGAATTGTTTTAGAAAATGGTTTTTATTACAAACACACGAGATCTTTACTATCCAAAATATCGAAAATTGTGTTTTGAGGAAAGATTTAAGATAACTTACATTTATATTCAGAATTCTGGATAGGCTTAGAATTTGACAAATGATCACTAGGTAGAGATTATACTTTTGATGTTGCTAAAAAATCCATAATCTTTAAACGCTTTCCTTTAAATAGATGACGCCCATAGCAGTATATATAAACCACCCGAATACAAAAATAATTAATCTGTGGAAGTGAAAAAAATCTTTAAAAAAAAATCAGATTTTTTCACGTTTTGGAAAATTCTCCATTTTCAGACTCAAATATCTTAGTTAAGAAGTAATGCAAAAAAAAGTTATTTTCTCCGAATCTGTAGCTTATTGAATTCTCTACACAACTTTCATAAAGCTTCTTGATCCGACGCTTTGTTACTCCACTACATCATTTCTACGAATGGACCGACGATTATCCAAGCTGGGGTAAAAAGTTAAGTTATTAACGGATAAGAATTTTAAAACTATAGAGATAATAACAGCAACCATTTTTAAATCCATTATTTAATTTTTATTGAAAATTCGACGTTCTGAAAATACAGTTTTCATTTTCAAGAAAAGAATAGATAAATAGACTATATTATAACATTAGAGTCAAAAATATAAGTTCTCTCTATATATGTATATATTAGTCGAACTTATATTTTTGACTTTAATGTTATAATATAGTCTGTTTATCTATTCTTTTCTTGAAGGTGAAAATTGTGTTTTAGAAACGTCAAATTTTCAATAAAAATTAAATAATGGATTTAAAAGTAGATGCGCTATTATTATTTCTACAGCTCAAAAATATAGTTTGATGTTATCCAATTAACAAATGATATTTTCTAGTAGCCTTATACTCTACTTATTCTTATTCATTTTCTACTGCTTTACGAACGATTTTACATTCCAGAAAGATCGTGCACGATTAATTAGAATGTCAACTACAGTCACAAATACAGGGCGACTCAGGGATCTTCATACATCAATTCGAGACAAAGTCGGTCAAGTGAAAGCAAATCAACGGCAGTGTGAACGACTTGTCAATCGTATTGATCAGATAATCGATTCTGTTGAACGTCTCGAAAAGGCGTCTGGCTCCGTCGTTCGGCCCGAATCACATACTCTTCTCAGCGGCCTTCTCTCTTGTATTGACAACTGTAATCGCTTAATCGAAAAATTCACGACAAATACCTGGTACAAAAAAGTTTATGAAAATCAAACGGACAGAGTTGAATTTGAACAACTGAATAGGCAACTGTCAAATTATGCCCTAGATCTTAGTTTGGGTTTAAATATTCAACAATTATTTGACCGAAACCAAGACCAAGAAGATTTGAAAGAAGATTTATCCGATATAAGTCGAAAATTGGACACGATTGCAAAACAAATGTTGGATGAACAACAACAGCAAAACAAACGCATGAACCAAATGATTGAACAGCGATTTCAATCGTTCAGATCCCATCTCACGCAGAGTTTAGAAGCACAAAGGCGAAGTGATTACGCCCGAACGATCAGAATTGAAAGGGAACGATTTCTACACATTCCACTCAACGATCTGTTGATAGAAAACAAACTCGGCTCTGGCGGATTTGCCGATGTCCATCGAGGCCTATGGCTCACACATCATGACACTGTTGCCATCAAGATAATTCGAATGAATCATTTAGACGAGAAGAGCCCAATGAGAGAAGATTTCTACCGAGAAATTTCGACAATGTATCGAATTCGCTATGAGAATGTGATCAATGTGATTGGCGCCTGTGTCGAGCCGAATTTCTATGCTATTATTCTCGAATACATGGGATTAGGCTCCCTTTATGACATTCTTCACCGCCGACAACAGCAGGATGACAGAGTGATCAAGTTTACATGGCCCGATCGATGGTCAATTGCCCTGCAAATGGCGAAGGGCATCAATTATTTGCATCGATTAACACCCCCGATTATCCATCGAGATGTTAAATCAATGAACTTCCTCTTTAAGCAGGACGGACACGACAAATTTATTGTCAAAGTCAGTGATTTTGGCCTGGCTGAAATTCGACGAGAGAGTTGGTTGCAGTCAACAACATCAGCGTCGTTACAAATCCCATCTGATATTGTCGGCTCTATAAGTTGGAAAGCACCGGAATTGTTCAATCGTCATGGCACGCATACGAAAGAGAGCGACATTTACAGTCTGGGAATAGTGTTTTGGGAATTGGCAACCGGCCGAAAGCCGTATGACGATTATGCCGACGAAACAGTTATTCCTTACAATGTGACGACGAAGGGAGAAAGACCGGATTTAACAACAACCACGATCGACAACGAATTTCAGCTGTTGATCACATCGGCATGGGCACAAGATCATCATCAACGACCAACATGTTTGCAGCTGATCGAACGGATAAACAAAATTTTAAGTTCAAAGTACGAGGAGAATAACACTGACGAAACTGGTTTGCCGTCGTCCAACGAGAACCTAACGGCTGAAAATGAGAACAGCATACCGCATAATGTAGCCATTGATCTTCATCAGTCCGCAACGTCAACAACCGTTTCGATAAGTGACAGGTAATTAGAAGTCTACCATCTTTTATTTTTATTTGTGTATTCCTGGCTTTTAGTTCCTTTGGCTCCACACTTTCATCCACTAGTACAAAAACAGCTATCCAAGTGGACGAACAAGAACTTCGAAATACCTTCTTCGACAGCGCAAATACAACTATAAGAACGCAAGCCCAACCGGAACAAGAAAGAGATGAAGTAGAAGAAATGTTAACACCGCCAACGATTGAAGACAGCACTAGTCAACCTGGTAAGATGAAACTATTTGTTCATATCGAGAACGAAGCACAACAATCAAAATCTTTTTTCGTTGTTTCACGACCCATGTGAGCACAACTTGAGGCATTCGACAAGTGTGTCTTACTGAGAAAACAAGTAAATTAATGTCATCTCATTTTTTTATTTCAGCTGAGAAGGTAGAGACACCAATGACTCAGATCGAAGTAAAAACATCCACAAAGTCCGACGAACCTTGTTTAACTGCCGACAGTTCGTATATCCCTTTGCAACGCTCTTTGTCGAAATCCGAAAGCAATTTAGAAACAGCAAAGTAAATATGACAAAAGACATTAGTGGATCTATAACAATGATGATGTTCCTTGTCTCTTCAGCTTTGAAACAGCAACAACGAATGGGTCATTCGGGCTCAGTCTGCCAAAAGAACGCGTGGAAAAACGTCGTCCACTACATCAGAACATGATGTGGAGTAGCAAAAACAGACAAAGCCGAGTGCCCACTAGTGCTGTTCCATTTGATCACCGCAGATCTGTTAGTACAGATCCAACATCACATCAGTCAGTCGTGCCTGACAAATCGGTCAGTAATGCTTTAGAACAAGTACAACAGCAGTTACCATCATTAACTTATACAAGCATCGTTGTTGCTCCAGAGACAATAGAGCGCCAAAAGTGAGAGAGGTTTTCAGGCAGAAGTGTACTTATTACACATAAAGAACTTTACGTTTTGCTTTAGGGTTACATCTCCATTTGTGCCTTTAATCAGTCCGCCAAAGCAGCAACAAGAGCAGGGGCGCCGCTCAATTATTGCACACAACGAAAATGATCGCATTGCCTCATCGAAGGCACCTTCGTCATCATCGCCAGCTGCCTCTGTCGGAACACCGTGTTTATTTTCTGTATCGACGGTTCTCGGGGGTGATGGCAAAGGTAGTCGACTAGATCAGCTTCATTATCCGTTTGACATTTTTGTTACGAACAACAGCAATGATATATATGTGGCTGACTTCTGCAATTCACGTATTTTGAAACTGTCTGGATCCAAAACTAGCGTCATTTCTGGTAGCGAAGGTTCAGATTCTACAGTGAATCAATTAGATTCACCGGTGGCGATGTTTGCTGACGATGAAGGAAAGGAAATATTTATTAGCGATTTCAGAAATAATCGAATTCAAAAATTTTCTCTAACTGGAGACATGGATATTCATGTTCAAACTGTCATTGGACAAAATGGTCGAGGTGACCATCACGATCAGTTTGATCGATGTTATGGTTTGTTTGTTGACCATCAACAACAATGGATTTATTTGTCAGATTACAACAATCATCGCGTCACAAGATGGAGAAATGTGAAAGATAGTAGCCATAGCGAGGGTGTTGTTGTTGCTGGCGGACAGGGGAGGGGCTCGTCTTCGAACCAGCTGAATTATCCAACAGACATATGTGTCGACGAAAGTGAAAATAACCTTTTTATTTGCGATTATTTCAATCATCGTGTCCAACGCTGGTCACTGAACGATCGAGAAACAGGTGGAGTTACTGTTATTGGTGGTCATGGAGAAGGTTTCTATTTGAATCAGCTTAGCTATCCAATGTCGATGACTCTGGACTCTTCAAATAGGGCGCTGTATGTTGCTGATACTGGAAATAATCGAATTATTAAATTGTCGCTTCGTCCCAGTTCGAACAAAGCAGTACCAACAGTAATTCTAGGCACTAGTCTTGGTCAGGGACCAGGCCACTTATTCCTTCCACGAAAAGTGTTCATCGATAAAAATCACAGTAATCAACTCTATATAGTCGACACCGGCAATCATCGTCTGCAAAAATTTACTATTCCTAGCAGAGCATCAACGTCTGATAGTGGTGGTAAGTAAGTAAGCATTGCTCAAAACTTGAGAGAGTTTGTTTCTCGAGCTTCCCCTTCTAATTCATGTAAGACAAAAGTTGTTCTTTTATCAGGATAAACGGAAATCTACTACTGATCCATCTGAAATTCATCGTGTTTTGCATAAAACGCACATAAATCTAGTTATCTCTTTCGCCTTTATCCCTCGGCAGAATATATTCTATGCGTTGAGGCATATCGACAAGTTCGGGGGTGTAGAAGAGGTGAAACTGTATAAACGCTGAAAATTTTTCGGCAAACAAAGTCACTATGACAGAGTTATAGCTTTTATAAGTTATATACAGGCCACCTGTTGGTATAAAAGTTCCGAAAAAATTTACAAGTAAAGGTTTAGCCTTGATTTTGACACAGTTCGATAGTACATCGGGTTGTATTCATGAAACAGCACTCAGTTTACGAAAGGTCACATACCATCAGAATTTGCGCCAAAACCTACTACAGGTTCTTCCGAGTGAGCTCAAATTTTATGGACATCCTAGACCTCGCTGAGCACCATTCTTAGGCTATTGTACACCGTTGACTAGTTCTCTGCCGTGAAAACAAAGTTTTTGCTTATTTTAGTTTATCGCAGAATAGCATTCCAGGATATTCCCAATTGTTCGTCCGTGCGCAATTTCAACAGAGTGCCGAATCCGTATTGCGATCTCTATTGGGATCATGTCTCTTACATGGAACGAAGTTATGCAAGGAGATTCTGGTCAAATACGGGCTTCGATTGTGCATTTAAGTACGGCTCGTATGTTGCTTACAACTCAATGGGATGCCCTATCACGATCAGTGTGATGAACTCATTTACCCGTAATACAGTAACGACCGCTACGTTTGATATTCTCTCATTTGAAACAAATTCAATTCAAGATGACAACCTTCAGTTAATAATCCGAGGTTTTCGTTCAAATATTGAACTTTATCGAACAGTAAAGAAACTGAAATCAAACCGATCACAGACGCTTGAACTTCATTGGTTTCAAATAGATACAGTCACAATGGAATCCATCCCGAGTAGACCATACAAAAGTCCAGAGATCCCCTATCTGGCACTCACATCTTTAGATTTGATCTATCATGCATGACTCATAAGCTAATGAAGTTAGAAGCTCTGAAAACTTGGACGGTCTTACTCACTCGCTGTGCCTATGAATATAGACAAGAAAAATCGATTAGCTCTGAAGTTATCTCACACAATATTCTACTTTAACCCTTTGACTACCATAGTATAAAAAAAGCTACACCTGTTTTTTTCATATTTCTCATGATGTAATTCATTAAAATTAGTACATAATCTATTGAAATGGAGTACTACTACTACTACTATTCGGTAGTCAAAGGGTTAAGCAAGAAATCCTCCTACGCAAGTAACATTCGTTCTTATTTCAACCGGTCGTTTTCAAAATTTTTTTTGCAGTGACCGCATTTCAAGCTGTCAACATTTAGGCTGACCTGGTGATAAATTTTATAAAATATGCTCCAAAACGAGCTTCCTACACATTTTTATAATGGATGTAAAATAGTCACAAAAAAGGATTAAATATGACTTTATTTATAGTCGAAACGTAGCTCAGTTCAAGGACTGTCTAACGGCATAAAGCTGAGGGTCTGAAGCGTTTTACTTTACTTTAAAATTGCCTCTTCAGAACTGTTTCAAAATTGGTTTGCGAAATGAACAGTAGTATAATAAACACCGAATGCATAACTATGTATTACGAGACGTTTCGTACAATATCTTAGTACATCCTCAGTCAGAAATAATACACGTATACACGTACACACGTAATACGTATTATTTCTGACTGAGGATGTACTAAGATATTGTACGAAACGTCTCGTAATACATAGTTATGCATTCGGTGTTTATTATACTACTATTCATTTCGAAATGTATTCACCGGTTATTTAAAAAGAAACTTGAATCAATTGGTTTGCGAAGACATCTCACCTAGTTATACTAACCTAAGTATGAAAAATGTATCTAGTATCGCCCGATACCGTTACCGTTTTACCGTATTGTACCAGTTGAGGAAATGCAGCAATAAACTGTGCTAGATCATGGATTGCGAGTATCAGCTGCTTACCGAGACTGCTGGATGATATCAGAAATACACGTCACCCTCTACATTCAGTACCGCGCATAAAACTGGCACATGTATCGGGATTTTTAAAGAACTTTCATTTTACCGGATTGGCAAGTCACTTGTATGTCTCCCGGTCTTCTGATTCAATCCACTCATCAAATCGAAAGAATACGAACTCGATCAGGATCGCTCGGCTTCTACTGTTATTGGAGATTAAAATAAACTGATTTATTTAGGATTTTCGAATGTCATGTTGGGTACTAAATTAATTTAAGTAAGGCGCCGCTATTTCAAAAATCAAGTGGAAAAGCTTTTGAAATTTCAAACACGTATTCTGATTCGTCGGACGCATCTGATCACGAATCTGATCTTATTTTTTCCATTTGATCGGCTTTTCATGCATCTCATGAATGTATTGAACATTCGAATGTGTAGTACATATGTAGTGAATGTGTAGTGAGGTATAGTAGACAATCGCTTGTAGTGTAGTGTTTTTTATTTCCCCCTTGAGTTCGGCCGATGAGATGACATCAAGCGATGTAAAATGTTTTTGAGTGCACATGTGCTGGAAATTCGACAGTGCTGCCGCAAACTTTGCTGTTTCCTTTTTTTGTTGATTAATTTGGCAAAAATAACTTTTTCTGTGCTAAGAATAAAAAGTCTTTTTTTGACGACGTCATCAGCGGATCAAGAAGAGAACCCAGAAATCGGGAAACAGTAACGAAGTCATTTCTGAGCGCCATATATGCATTGTCTTTCAGTCTAAAACATACACGAGTTTGTATATCATTTAAAACTTCACATTCAAGTTTTAACACGTCTAAAACTGGTAATTGGGTAATTTTGCGCATGGCATCGTAGAGCCCCTTACATCATCTCCTACTATCGAAAGGCTCACATACCATCGCATAGTATTGTATATTATCTCAAGCATCGGAAAACCTTTCGAGGGCTCTGGAAAGCTCCCGGAGCCGCCTTTTCAACCTTGATTTTTGATAAACCTTATCCATTTTACGTCCGACTTTTTCGAACATCAGCTCATTCGAAAGATCCTTTAAAACTGCCCTGGATAGATGATATTTGTTAACCTTGTACAAGTAATGTAATCGTTGTTAATGTATGTATATTTAATTCTATACTTATCCATCCTGGTTTCGAAATAAAATATGCATCTTACGACTTGTTTTTGATTTTCTTTTTTATTCTTGTTTTTAATATTTCATTATCTTTTCAAACGTAGACAAATCCAACCATTATGTCACCAAATTTAATTAACCAAAAGCAATTTTTAGCAAATCGTAGAGATTTTCATTTTCTAAATCATCCGTCAGTGAAATGTATCCAGAAAGTATTTCACCCAGATTATCATTTCTTTCGTTATTATCATCAATGTTTTGTTCCATCGCGCCCCAATAGCTTTTTGTATTAATGTGCACTCACTATCGTTAAAGTACACTTAATATATCCCAAAACAATAACTATGAACTTCTCTTTCTGACTGAAAAAAAGAATTTTCTTCATCTTAATTTGAGACATGATACATTGGAATATTTTTTAGTGTTCATGATCTATTAAGACTGATTCATCATTGAATATTTTTATTGTCAACTTATATCTGATGCATGACCGTAAATTTGAAACAAATTCTTTCCGCGTGCGGTTGAATCCTATAAAAACCAAATGTGTGCAGACTATTAGAATTATAGTCTAAAAACACGCTTGTGTCTAACGAGCGAGTGCGGCTTACCCCTTTATTTATATTTTTTATTATTATTACATTACAATCTGCCTATATATGAGTTCCTCTAGTACAAAAATGGTGAATTCAAAGAGGAAGAGAAACATTAACATTTCAGAACGAAAAAGTCTTTTTCTTCGGATATGTTATACACAAAATTCCGACTATTTATATTCACTCTGATTAATTTATTATTGGATAAGAGTATTGCTATTTGACTAAAATGATATATTCAATGATGATGATGATGATTTATTGCGTGAGCAATGCCCGGGCCTGTTGCCCGCTTGCACTACAATGTAGATAAAATGAAAAGTCTATAAAAAAAGTATCAAAAGGTTGTGAAACGAAAAGTTTTCGTATATCGGATACAATAAAAAATATAAATAAAGGGGTAAGCCGCACTCGCTCGTTAGACACAAGCGTGTTTTTAGACTATAATTCTAATAGTCTGCACACATTTGGTTTTTATAGGATTCAACCGCACGTGGAAAGAAT